ATGGATGGATGGATGGATGGATGGATGGATGGATGGATTGATTTGAAAGTCAACAATAATATAAAATGGTTTTACTAAAGAAGCTCAATGTGATGCCATGTTTGGGTCATGTCTCATCCAAATTAAATGTAAAAATGCATTCCATTAAGTCACTTTTGGTTGACAACCAGGACTGGAATTTGCCAGTGGGGAATTAAAATATGCTTGTTGCACAGAGACCAAAGCAAAAGGCATATCTACCTCTTCTTGCTTTCTGCACAAGGTCACTGTTTCCATGGCGACATGCTGATGGCTAGTTTGCGTCCTTATTCCTTATCTATTTTTCCACTTCTCTCTCCTCATATCTGCAATATCTTTGTTTGAAGACCCCTCATGACCAATGCTGGCTTTCGGTCTCCAACCTCTGTTCTCCCCTTTTCATCCTTATTATCCACTTGCATAAGCCTTCATTGTTGGAAAACTAACTAAACAACAGAATACAAAAGAAAAACACAGCATGTAAACAGACTGAAAAAGAGACAATGATTCGATGATCCATAAACGATGCAGCATCAAAGTGTCTGCGTCTGTTTTTTTTTCTCTGCCAAAAATTAGACTAAGCAGGGGTCGCTTCAATATCAAAGGCCTCTACCCCCTGTGAGATGTTGGGCACAAAGTCTCATGCTGCTTTCTTATCAGCTTTCCTCTGTTAGTCGGGAAATGAACTGCTGATACAGATTAATGAGCTATAAACCATCTTCTTCTATTTTGTTGCAGGTTCCTAGCTGCCTCACTGAGTATGTTAGCCCCATCTGCGTTCGTCTGACAGGGTCACACTACATTACAAAGCAGCCTCATTTGCCTTTTTATCTGTACTAACAGATGGACTATCAGCGCCTGGGCTTGTGTGACCCTGGGGTGATAGCAAGGTGCTGCAACACAGAGTGGACGTACATCATTACCAGGTTAACAGCGAGGCTACAGAGCACAACCTTATGCTACCCTTCATTTTGCTAAGAAATATTCTGCCTCAGTGTGGCATTCACAAGCAGGTAAAGCGAGACAAATGAGATACGATGATGGGTGAGGAACGTGCCTGAGCCCAGTGACAGAGAAACAAAGACAGATGAAGGAATCAAGGAGAAACAGGGTGAAGAAAAAACAAGGCAAATATTGACAGAGATAATGGATAATTCAGATACATAAAAAAGAGATCAAAAGAAAAATGGTTAAGGGTAAGAGTCTAGAGAAATGTGAGGAGGGGGAGTTGAAACGAGACCTTAATCTTAATTAAAGTGAAGGATGTATGGCTGTTGTTTAGGAGCCACGGGGGAAATGCGCATTTACTCATTTGCCAGCTTTGCTCTGCAGGCATGCTGGTTTCACTGTGATATAATCCAGAACTGTGTCATTAAAAGATCTAATCTTATCTTGAGTGGCAGCTGGAATATGTTGGTGAGGGAACTATCCCTGCATTCTTGTTTGATGTTTTGTGAAGTTACTTCCTATTAAATGTAGTCTGCTGACTAAAAGTTTCAAATAAAGGTTTAAGCAAAGTCCTCCACCAAGTTGTGTTGTTCTCTTAGTATATTGAAAATATTTTTTTTCCTGGCACTGCATTCATCTTAGCATAAAACCCAAACCTATATTGGTTTACTAGCTGCATTCATTACCATTTAGAATCATCACATTTAATAAACCATTCTTTCCCTTAAGCAGTATTACACATAGAGAAATAAATCAAGCTAAAAAGCTATCACAAATCGTTTTTTCTTCATTAAGCCACTAGACATATTTTAATAAATAATCTTGTTTTTTGTAAAGACCCTTTTTTAAAACATCTGATGTTGTTCCTTTGCCAAATGCTGATTAAGTGCCATAGTCAAGATCAACTGTCAAGTCAACAGCATCTTTTTTCTTTAATCTTCATATTTTGATTCATTGTATTCCAAGTTTTAAACTGATATTACTGGGCATGTAGTCAATTTTATGGTTAGATTTGGGTCTCTTGGACATTGTCTTTTGAGCAAGCTTGAATAAGTAAAGGTTCCTGTGTGGCTGAGCTGTGTATGGTACTGAGCATAGGAGGGTGGTGATAAGTGCTCTTGTAGGTGTTGTAGTGGTTGTAGTGCTCCAGTGGAGGGAGCGATAGATGTCTCTCCATAGCGGCAACACCTGCAAGCTCTTCTTCAACAGTAATGACTTCCATGGAGGAGGCAGGGCCATCAGGGTCCTGTTGGTTATGCTGCTTCCTCATCTTGTAGAAAATGACCAGCAGAACAGCAGCCATAAGTGTAATGGCCACAAAGCAGCCAATGATAATCTTGGTGGTTTTCATCACCTCATCCAGACCGTTGAGGGCTCCCTCTCCGTTCGGATCCTGAACTGGGATGGTGTAAGTCCGTTCTGTGGTCCGTGTTGAAACAGGAGTACCCTTTGTAGTTGAAGATGGTATCCATTCAAATGGGGGAAGAGATGTTTGGCTTTCTTCCCCCGGGTTCCCAATCATCTCTACAGTGACAGTGGTAAAATAAGTCACTCCGCTATTTTCCACTGACGTAACATTAAGCACAGCAGAAGCAGAAATGTTGCCTGCTGTGTTGCTAACCATACACGTGTAAGTTCCAGTGTCCTGCATTGTTACACTAGTAAAATTTAGTGTCCCATCATTAAGTACAGACAAACGCACCTTATAAGCTCCATGTGTCACCAAAGAGCCATTTGGTGTGAGCCAAGAGATAGAGGTCAGTGAGCTTGTGCGACATTTAAGCTCAGCACCCATGCCCTCAGTCACATTCAAGTCACTGGGTGGCTCTACAATAACAGGAACRTCACACTGGAAGTAGCTGTGATCCAGTTCTCCAATATAGCGACCTTTAAAGGCTGAAGGAGTAAAACAACGCGCACAGCAGCTGGTATTGGCAGGTACTGTTTCCTTAAGCCACCAGCTGAGCCACAGAATGTCACAGTTGCAGTTCCAAGGGTTGTGGTGTAGGTGGACTCTTTCGAGACGATGCAATGGTGTAAAGAGGTCATGTGGTAAAAAGGTCAGGTTATTGTGAGCCAGGTTCAGCTCCACCAGTGATTGGAGATCATCAAAGGAATTTCTCTCAATAGTTTGGATCTGGGCATGCATCATCCACAGCTTTTGAAGGTTCAGTAATCCTGTGAAGGAGCTGGGCTTGATGACAATGAGCTGGTTGCCTGACATTTCAAGCTCTTCAAGCCTTATCAGTGGTAGAATGTTAGGTATCTCCTTAAGGTTGCACATTCCCAAGTTCAGGTAGCGCAGGTTGCTCAAATCCTTGAAAGCTCCATCCGAAATGTAGGAGAGACGTTTTAGCTCACCTAAATCTAGCCTTCGCAGAGAAGGAACCCGGTTGAAGGCATATGATGGTATACTTTCAATGGGGTTGTTTCTTAGCCACAGTTCCTTAAGTTTGGATAAGTATTCAAATGCTCCATTGGGGATTGTTGTCAGTCGATTATCAAAGAGCTCCAGTGTATTGAGACTGGCTAGCCCATTAAAAGCCCCAATTTCAATGCTGCGGATATGATTTTTGCTCAGTTGCAGGATCTCCAGATGGCGCAGATGCTTGAAACTGTCCACCTTGATTACCTGAATAAGGTTATCCTGGAGATTCAGGTACCGAGTATTGGTGGAAATGCCATCTGGTACATCTCGTAGACCACGCCGAGTGCATATGACTTTACTGAACTGGTTACTGCATGAGCAGACAGAAGGACAAGTTTGAGCACGAACTAGTCCAGCCACCACCAGGATCTGAAGGGCCAAAAGCAGCACAAAAAGGGGGTTGGACAGCGCCCCCTTCAGCCTACGACCTCTCATTGTCTGGCGCTGGAGGGTGGAGATCATTGTGTTCAGCATTCATAGTTCATCTGGTGTTTGTGTTCTCTGTAAAAAGACAAGAAAAAGAGAAAGGTAAAGATATTATCTGAGTCAATCACAAATACTATTTTATTTGGATGCTGAATTTTTGAGGGCACAATTATTAGCTTGTCTGAGCTTTATTAAAGACATGCAGTTACCATATTTATACTGAATGTTCTATTTTGATTCAGATTTTTGGCAAGTCAAATCAATCACTCTGGAAAATTATTTAGGCTTGTATTGAAATAGACTTTTTTATTGGCACATTGGACCTGTTGATAATTAAAAATCTGTTGTGATATTTTGGAACAAACAACAGTATATTTATACTGTACAAGTGCAATGCACTGCACATAGAAAATGAACAAGATGAACTGAAGACATATGCTGAAAATTAGTACTGCCAGTATCTATGATCTATATGAAGTTTGTGTTTGCTCTCTAACCCTGGAATATCTCCTATTTGTGGAGTCAACACAAGTTTATGGATTTGCACAGAACGTCCTTACTTGTGAGATTATGAAACATTTATTATTTAATACATAAAAAAATATAATAAGAACCCCAAAGGAATGTTATGGTCTGTTAGACTGGTAAACTCCAACAGGCATTACATTTAGACAAAAACTGTTGGAATGCCAATGGGAAATAATTTGTTCATTGCAACAAAGGGATTTCATACACTAGTAATGCAGGCTTTGGAAACCACAATGGTATTTTGAGCATTTATGCTTAAAATGTTTTCTGGTTTATGTGGTAAAGCACAGCATGTTACAAGCAAAATACATGTATCCAGTTTTTTCAGATGTTACTCTTTCCTAACGTTTTTAAAATTCTGTTGTCTTTGAAAAAAATGTTTCTGATTGTTAGCTTTCATGATTACAGTCTTCTAAGTGATTTTTCCTCATATTTATGCAAATTATGCAACCAAAAAAAATAAAATCATTACACAAAAATAAAAAAATGGATATTGTTCTAGAAACAAAACAGAACAAAATTCTGAGCTTTGCTAACTCAAGGAAGAAGTTCCTTTTTCTGTTGTTTTAGTCTATTGAACCAACATGCCGGTGAATATGCCTAAAAATCCTGGTGATAAAAATAAACTCGGACAATCATACGCATCGAGCACAGCCTGCACCTCCCACTTCCACTCTGCAGTGTCAATGTGTTGCTCTCATCCCTCATTTTTTGCCTTCATATGGCTACCTACAAACAAATCAATGCAAGCAGTATAAAAAAAAACATATATGTGCTAAAAAAATAGTGTGACAGTGTTGTGTCAAGTTGTTCTTTTAAATGATTCAGACACTATTCTGCAGTGCAGTTGATACCTTTGCCAAGAGCAAAGCACTCTTATTCTATCCAAGAGAGAGAGAGAGAGAGAGAGAGAGAGAGAG